GTGCAGAACACTGTACCTTTAATTTAAATGCCCTTGGAGTCTGCTGGGGAAGAGAAATAATACTGTCAGTCAGTATGACATGCAGATGAGTGCCGTCGATCTTAGAATCACCGCACACTTCACTCATTTGGGCAGTCACGGGGCCAAAACCAGAGTGTGGAGCCACAGTGTGGCGGTGGAGGCAGCAGCAATGGGAGGCCATACAGCACCCTATGACAAAATGGAACCCACCAGCAGTGTGAGGAGACCTGAAAGTGGCACATGGCAGAGTGTGGCGATGGAGACAGCAGCAATGGGAGGCCGTACAGGGACCCATGACACACTCTGGACCTGGCAGCAGCATGAGGAGGCGGTACAGGGGCCCATGGCAAGAAGAAGAAGAAGAAGATGAGGATAAGGATGAGGATGAAGAAGAAGAAGAAGAAGAAGAAGTAGGATGAGGATGAAGAAGAAGAAGAAGAAGAAGTAGGATGAGGATGAAGAAGAGAAGAAGAAGAAGAAGAAGTAGGATGAGGATGAAGAAGAAGAAGAAGTAGAAGAAGAAGAGGATGAGGATGAAGAAGAAGAAGAAGTAGGATGAGGATGAAGAAGAAGAAGAAGAAGAAGAAGAAGTAGGATGAGGATGAAGAAGAAGAAGAAGAAGAAGTAGGATGAGGATGAAGAAGAAGAAGAAGAAGAAGAAGAAAAAGTAGGATGAAGAAGAAGAAGAAGAAGAAGAAGAAGTAGGATGAGGAAGAAGAAGAAGAAGAAGAAGTAGGATGAGGAAGAAGAAGAAGTAGGATGAGGATGAAGAAGAAGAAGAAGAAGTAGGATGAGATGAAGAAGAAGAAGAAGAAGAAGAAGAAGTAGGATGAGGATGGATGAAGAAGAAGAAGAAGAAGTAGGGATGAGGATGAAAAAGAAGAAGAAGTAGGATGAGGATGAAGAAGAAGAAGTAGGATGAGGATGAAGAAGAAGAAGTAGGATGAGGATGAAGAAGAAGAAGAAGAAGAAGAAGTAGGATGAGGATGAGAAGATGAAGAAGAAGAAGAAGAAGTAGGATGAGGATGAAGAAGAAGAAGAAGAAGAAGTAGGATGAGGATGAAGAAGAAGAAGAAGAAGAAGAAGAAGAAGAAGAAGAAGAAGTAGGATGAGGATGAAGAAGAAGAAGTAGGATGAGGATGAAGAAGAAGAAGAAGAAGAAGAAGTAGGATGAGGAAGAAGAGAAGAAGTAGGATGAGGATGAAGAAGAAGAAGAAGTAGGATGAGGATGAAGAAGAAGAAGAAGAAGTAGGATGAGGATGAAGAAGAAGAAGAAGAAGTAGGATGAGGATGAAGAAGAAGAAGAAGAAGTAGGATGAGGATGAAGAAGAAGAAGAAGTAGGATGAGGATGAAGAAGAAGAAGAAGAAGAAGTAGGATGAGGATGAAGAAGAAGAAGAAGAAGAAGAAGTAGGATGAGGATGAAGAAGAAGAAGAAGAAGAAGAAGTAGGTATGAGGATGAAGAAGAAGAAGAAGAAGAAGAAGAAGAAGAAGAGAGTAGGATGAGGATGAGAGAAGAAGAAGAAGAAGGATGAGGATGAAGAAGAAGAAGAAGAAGAAGGATGAGGATGAAGAAGAAGAAGTAGGATGAGGATGAAGAAAAAGCAGAAGAAGAAGTAGGATGAGGATGAAGAAGAAGAAGAAGAAGAAGAAGAAGAAGATGAAGAAGAAGAAGAAGAAGAAGGATGAGGATGAAGAAGAAGAAGAAGAAGAAGAAGAAGAAGAAGTAGGATGAGGATGAAGAAGAAGAAGTAGTATGGATGAGGATGAAGAAGAAGAAGAAGAAGTAGGATGAGGATGGAAGAAGAAGAAGAAGAAGGATGAGGATGAAGAAGAAGAAGAAGAAGAAGTAGGATGAGGATGAAGAAGAAGAAGAAGTAGGATGAGGATGAAGAAGAATTCCATTCCAGCAAAAAGTGTATCTGCAGAGAGCTCCGCTATTTCTGACAGTTCTCTGACAGTTCCTTCACATTTACAGCAGTTGAAACATTGTATCTATTTGTTTCCGAATAAAAACATCTGTATCCTAAATGGAAACAAATAGATACAATGTTTCAACTGCTGTAAATGTGAAAGAACTGTCAGAGAACTGTCAGAAATAGCGGAGCTCTCTGCAGGGACACTTTTTGCCGGCTGTAGAAGGGATGAAAATCGGCCGATCGGGGAAAATTCGATTCGCGCATCCGAAGTTTGCTAATATTCGGATTCGGTGCAAATCGAATTTTTCCTAATATTCGAAATGAATTCCACTTCGCCAGGTTCGATTCGCTCATCTCTAGTTATTACTGAATGAGCCTGGCCCACATGCATTGCATATGAATATATAAAAGTATACTCACTTCATCTTTATTGTCATCATTTATGACATTTAAGTCTGTATCAGTCTCATCTTCATCTTCTGACTCATCTATGAGGGATATAAGATGCTTTATCAGAAACAATATTATCAAACATTCAATAATTAGCATACAGATTTTGTAAAATGTATCAGTTATATGGAGTATTTCAAGTCATTAAGCCAAGGTTCATACTGGAGTGTGTTTCAGAGCGTTTTCTGGTTTGCAGAAAAACACTACAGTCCATTTACCATGGTTTCCTACAGATCTAGTTCACATCTGTGCGTATTGAGCTGTTGTGTTTTTTTGGAAAGGGTCAGGGACTTTTTTTCTGCAGCAGATTGCGTTTTATGTGTAATAGACTTCAGTGGAACTGCACCAAAAATGCAAGTGTTGCATTTTTTTGCGTTTTGCTATTTCTTTCCCCAAAAGGAAAGTATGACAATTTTGGGTTAGGGTCAGTGGTAATCAATAGATTAGAGTTAGCAGTAATATGTATTGTTAGGAGGTTAACTCTAAACGTAACTGCTAGCACTAACTCTAACCCTAACTCTAAGTAGTAGTTCGGGTTACAGTTAGGGTTAGAGAAAGAGTTAGGGTTAGAGTTAGGGTTAGAGAAAGAGTTAGGGTTAGAGTTAGGGTTAGAGTTAGGGTTAGAGTTAGGGTTAAAGGTAGGGTTAGAGGTAGAGGTTAGAGTTAGGGTTAAAGATAGAGTTAGAGTTAGAGAAAGAGTTAGGGTTAAAGTTAGGGTTAGAGTTAGGGTTAGAGTTAGGGTTAAAGTTAGGAAAAGTAAGGGTTAAAGATAGAGTTAGAGTTAGAGAAAGAGTTAAAGAAAGAGTTAGAGTTAAGGTTAGGGTTAGGGTTAGAGTTAGGGTTAGAAATTGGGTTAATGCTAGGGTTAAAGTTAGGGTTAATGTTAGGGTTAGAGAAAGAGTTAGGGTTAGAGTTGTGTAGAAAGTTAAAGCTAAGGTTAGAGTTAGGGTTAAAGTTAGGGTTAGAGAAAGAGTTAGAATGAGTTAGAGTTAATGCTAGGGTTAAAGTTAGAGGACTTAAGTTAGGGTTAGGGTTAAAGAGTTAGGGTTAGAAGTTGTGTAAAAGTTTAGAGAAAGAGTTAGAGAGAGTTAGAGTTAAAGTAGGGTTAGGGTTAGAGAAAGACTTAAGGTTAGAGAGTTAGGGTTAAAGTTAGGGTTAGAGTTAGGGTTAGAGAAAGAGTTAGAGAATGAGTTAGAGTTAAAGTTAGAGTTAAAGTTAGAGTTAGGGTTACTGAAAGAGTTAGGGTTAGAGAAAAGGTTAGGGTTAGAGGTAGTTTAAAAGTTAGAGTTAGGGTTAGAGTTAGGGTTAGAGAAAGAGTTAGGGTTAGAGAAAGAGTTAGGGTTAGAGTTAGGGTTAGAGAAAGAGTTAGGGTTAGAGTTAGGGTTAAAGTTAGGGTTAGAGTTAAGGTTAGAGAAAGAGTTAGGGTTAGGGTTAGCAGTCATTGTTAGGGTTAGCGGTGATTGCTAGGGTTAAGGTTAGTGGTAATTGTTAGAGCTAGCTTTTTAGCCCTAACAATGACTGCTAACCCTAATTATTACTTCTAACCTTAACTAAAAACTGCAAACAATAAAAAGCAAAACACATAAAAAACACATTGCAAAGCACATTAGAAAAACGCATCAACTGCACCCTGCATAGCTGTGAACCAAGACTTAAAGGTTCATTGGGACTGCTTTACTAAAGGCAAATAAGCTGTTCACTTTACAAGGGAAGTTGCACTTTGCAAGGAAAATTTCCCCAGAGCTAGTGAATGGAATGAAGGTCTGCTGAGTTTTATCATCCAATCATGTACAAGCAGGGCTGCTGTTAAAAACCATGGGGCCCCATACAACCAACCTGCAAAGTGGCACCCCCCCCCCCCCCTCACAAAAGAAAAAAACATAGTTTGCTATGCTTCAGCTATGAATAAACACGGATCAGTACCAGTCACTCTTTGTGTTCATTCAGGAAAAGAAAGGGCAAATGTGACATTTACCAGACCCTTCCCCCTCTACATTCTGGAGGATACTATAGTCTGCTTGCAGCTGCCAGTAGGATGCAGAGGAGGGAAGTTGACAGCACTTTGGAGGTGGGTGCACACTGAGGGTCCTGTACAGAAGGGGGAAACGTATAGGCACAGGGAGAATGATGGGTGCGGTGGGGGGCAATTAGTGGAACCGATCCCCTGTATGGCTCTCTCTGCAGCAGCTGAAAGCCAGCGGGAGGTAGAGGAAAAGCAGCCAGCTTTCCAGCTGCTGCTGAGAGTGCTATACAGGGGATCAATTCCAGTAATTGCCCCCCACTGTGCCAATTACCCTCCCTGCCCATATCCGATTCACCCAGCTGCTTGGGCCCCCCTGCTGGCCTGAGCTCTGTACAGGAGGACTGGTAGGTATCCCCTTATCCACAGCCCTGTGTACAAGCAAAAATACAGTTGTTTTTTTTCTGTGCACGTGATTGGGTATTCTTTGCAAAGTGCAATTTTACAGCATATACTAAGCTCAGGAGAAAATTCCCTTGCACAGTGCAATTTCCCTTGCAAAGTCCGTAGCCTATTTGCCTTTAGTAAATCAACCCTGTTCAACGGGAAAGCTTTGTTCTACCTTCTTGGGAGAACTCTTTTGCTGCGGCGATTGGCTTGCTTGCTCCAGGCACGGGATAGGTATAGGAGCTTTTAATACTGCACAGTGGCAGTGTGCACTTTGGACAGCACTTTCTTAAAATCTGTATTGCTGCACTGACTAAAGAGTCCAGGTTTTTCCCACGCAAACATTCCTAGGGAGAGAACAGAAAATACAGCGGTGTAAAATATGTGTAAGGAAATCGATAAAACACATAAAACAAGCCTGGCTGTGTTATGAATTAAAAGCCTCCAGCTGCTAGTGAACTGTGTGCCGTATGATGCTGAGTGACTGGGAGGCATACATCATTATGTATTGACTTCAAGCTATATACCACACTGGTATTTATGAAGCAACACTGTTGTTGGTCGCGCTGCAGTAAAGATTTGAAATGCAGGTGTGTTGCCACCCAACCAACATTTGCTTGGTTCATGATAGTAAATGAACACCAACAACCATGATGACGTCATTGTGTATGCCATAGACCAGCCATATTCAAACCAACTAACTACAGATCTTCCAGAGGCTGCTAGGGGTTTCTTGAGCTGCGAATGATTGCCCTCTCATTTGGTGGTATCTGCATAGTTCCAGTTCCAAAGCAAAATTTTTGTTCGATGAATCCAATTTCCCAATCACAATAATAATGACTTTCAATGAATCCGAAATAAATTATAACAAAACAAATTACCCGAATTTGAAAATGAATTTGAATTCAAACAGGAATTCAAACAGGAATTTAAATTAAAAAAATAATTAGCAAAAATTCATTTGAATTCAAAATTGAAACATATTGCAATAAATGCAGTAAGGTATAAAAGTGAAAAAAAGATTCCTAGGCTGCTTTATAGAATAGAACAGAATAGAATAAAATAGCATAGAACAGAAAATTAAAAAATAGAATAGAACAGAATTAAACAGAATATAATAGACTAAACAGAAAATAATAGAATATAAAGGAAAAGAAAAGAATATAAAATAATAAAAGAGAATAGATTTAAACAGAATAGAAAATAAAAGAATAGAATACAATAGAATGGAATAGAATAGAAAAGAATACTATAGAAAAAAATAGAATGGAATAAAATAAACGAGAAAAGCCATCTTCCGAAATTAAAATTTTTACATTTGAGTTTCAAATCTTTTTCAAAATAACGAATACATAGAACAAATCCAAACATACACAACGAATTACAAAAAGGAATTATCCTAACATAACGAATGTGATGAAAAAATTTATCTTAACGAACGAATCTGAAAAAACACAAATTTTTCTGTTGTGCACATCTTTAGTAAATTTGGTAAGTTCTTTGGGTATGTATGGATATCTGGTCATTGGTTCGTCTTAAGTCCTGTTTCTACCAAGATCACTGCAAGCCTGCAGTTTGTATTGGTTACATCCTGGTGCTCTGGTTTCCTCCAACAATCAAAAAATGTACAGGTTTAGTTAGCCTTCATGCCAACTGGTTTTCAGCTTAGTTTACACTTGTGGTTGGGGGAGTGGTAAAAATAAGTAGTTGAGCGGAAATTCTATCACTCCCCAAGCCTCCCTCCCTTAATGGGAAAAGTCAGTCAGACAGCAGTGTACACATGTCATGGCCATGATGCTTACATTGGTGGTCAGTGGGAAGAATATTCTTTTCATTGGTGGTCAATGGGAAGAATGTCTCTTACAATGGTGGTCAGTAGGAAGAATTTTCTCCATACTTTGGTGGTCAGTGGGAAGAATGTTCTTTACATTGGTGGCCACTGGGAAGAATGTCTATTACTTTGATGGTCAGTGAAAAGAATGTTCTTTAAATTGATGATCAGTGCGAAGAATATTCATTACATTGGTGGTCAGTATGAAGAATGCTCCATACATTGGTGGTCAGTGGGAAGAATGTCTATTACTTTGATGGCCAGTGGGAAGAATGCCCCTTACATTGATAATCAGTGCAAAGAATATTCCTTACATTGGTGGTCAGTGGGAAGAATGCCCCTTACATTGGTGGTCAGTGGGAAGAATGCCCCTTACATTGGTGGTCAGTTGGAAGAATTCTCTATACATTGGTGGTCAGTGGGAAGAATGCCCCTTACATTGATGATCAGTGTGAAGAATATTCATTACATTGGTGGTCAGTAGGAAGAATGCTCCATACATTGGTGGTCAGTGGGAAGAATGTCTATTACTTTGACGGTCAGTGGAAAGAATGCCCCTTACATTGATGGTCAGTACGAAGAATATTCCTTACATTGGTGGTCAGTGGGAAGAATGCTCCATACATTGGTGGTCAGTGGGAAGAATCCCCCTTACATTTATGATCAGTGTGAAGAATATTCATTACATTGGTGGTCAGTGGTCAGAATGTCTACTACTTTGACGGTCAGTGGGAAGAATGCCCCTTACATTGATGATCACTGCGAAGAATATTCCTACATTAGTGGTCAGTGGGAAGAATGTTTCTTACAATGGGGTCAGTAGGATGAATGCTCCTTACATTGGTGGTCAGTGGGAAGAATCCCCCCCTTAGGGCTCGTTTACACTTGTGGTTGGGAGGGCAGTAAAAACATGTGGTTGAGCCACATTTTATCACCCCACAACCACTCCTCCTTGGGCTGTAAAGCCAGTGAGCTGGGGTGTAGACATACTGTGGCCGTAATGTTTTGTTTCACAGCCACTGCAAGAATTATTCCCCCTGTCACACTTGGCAGACAGTACCACCTGGCAAAAACTACCCATTCCCCTGAAGAGGGCTGCACTGCACCAGCTGCTTTGTAGTGGATAAAACAGATATTATATGACCTCCCCCCTGCCTTTCAAACATTCTCTGAAGAGTAATCTAAAATCCTCTTCAGAGAGCTAATACAAGTGTAAACTAACCCTACAGATACTGTAGCTAAAAAGATCAATAGTGTCAGCACTTACTTATCTGAGAGATAGAAATTGCTTCTTGCTCATGGAACCCCTAGCTACCACTGGAAGAACCCTAGCCAAGAAAGGCTACTTTAGTTGATAAGCAAGATTTGTCTATTTTTTTCCAATCGGGGAGGACAATATCTCTTGTGGTGCAGTGAGAGTCAGCAGGGGTCACCCTGGTGGGAAGTCAAATAAAATTGTTCTTTTCTTTTGTATTCAATTACAAAAGTAGCTAAAAATGTTCCAGCCTTTCTAGAGCTAATTTAAGGTGGTCCAGGTGAGATAACCCCTCCCCCCATAGCTAATATAATCCACTGAAATGGTAGCGGCGGAAAATCTGGAAGGATGAGTATGGTGAAAGCTCAAATTTCTGGATGCCTACTCAGAGCCCCAGCAGGAAATGAAAGTGTTGGGCATCAAATTTGGCCCCGGTGACTATAGTCAAGGAAATTGGGAAAGTAAGGTGGAGGATGCTAGTGTTGCACCGACACCAATACAGGTATCAGTGCCGATACTAAGCATTTGCACATGTATTGGTACTTGTGCAAATGCACCGATACCTTGTCACCTGCACAGACAGAAGTCCAGCTTCTGTGTATCGAGGTGACAGGCTCCTCTTCAGGTGGTGCCCACTTTGTACTATTCTAATACAGCAGGGGAGGAGAGGGTGGGGGATGTGCACAGCTCCAGTGCAGCAGATGGACCGCCATCGTCATAGCAACCAATGACATCACATGTGCACCCTACCCAGCAGCATGCTTCTCCTCCCAGGCTTCCCAGCTCCCACCGCCTACATGCCGGGTTCTATGGAGAGAGTCTACAGGTATGGGGGGCTTTGATGGGGGAATCTAATATATGAGGGGCTCTGATGGGGGATGTGATGTAAGGGGGATCTGATGTAAGGGGGCTCTGATGGGAGATCTGATGTATAGGGAGCTCTGATGTAAGGAAGTCTTTGATGGGGGAATTGATGTAAGGGGGGCTCTGATTAGGGAATCTGATGTATGAGGGCTCTGATGAGGGAATCTGATGTATGAGGGCTCTGATGAGGGAATCTGATGTATGAGGACTCTGATGAGGAAATCTGATGTATGGGGACTCTGATGAGGGAATCTGATGTATGAGGGCTCTGATGGGGGAATCTGATTTATGGAGGGCTCTGATGGGGGAATCTGATATAGGAGGGGCTTTGATGAGGGAATCTGATGTATGGGGGGCTGTGATGGGGGAATCTAATGTAAGAGGGGCTCTGATGGGGGAATCTAATGTATGGGGGCTCTGATGGGGGAATCTGATATAGGAGGGGCTTTGATGAGGGAATCTGATGTATGGGGGGCTCTGATGGGGGAATCTAATGTAAGAGGGGCTCTGTTGGAGGGGCTCTGATGGGGGAATCTAATGTATGGGGGCTCTGATGGGGGAATCTGAACAAGGAGGGGAGGTGGCAGAGTTACAGCAGATGTGCTGGTCCTCCCTGTGAGGGATATTGAGGAGCAGCTGGGTAGCGGGACCCCAAAACAGTACTGTCTGGTGCTAGGGAGAGCCCTGATCAGCCTAATAATGGAGGACATGGACAGGTGAGGAGGATCCACCGATATACATTGTACTGTGTGGAGGGGCTGTACTGAGAACTGGAGATCACTTCCCAGCAGATGTACAGAACTTTCTAGTTAGAGTTAGTAGGAGTCAAGTAGATCAGTGTAGGAGTCAGATAGGTCAGTGTAGGAGTCAGGTAGGTCAGTGTAGGAATCAGGTAGGTCTGTCAGTGTAGTAGTTAGGTAGGTCAGTGTAGGAATCCAGAAGGTCAGTTTCCCGCACTGCTCCTGAGTGAACCCAGGCTTGTCACAGTTACTATAGCCTGGTCTCCCAGAGGAGCGGTGCGGGAAGCCGCACTTGATTCTGACAGGAATCGCATGCATTCCTGTTCAAATCATATACGATTCTTTGCAGTGCAAGTTGAGCCCATTCATTTTGTATGGGCTCAAATCACACTGTACTGCACAAAAAATAGGTATCGGTAATTGGTATTGGCGAGTACTTGATAAAAAGTATAGGTACTCATACTTGGTGGCCTAGCAATGGTCAACCCAATTTTTTGGGTTTTTTTATGCCAGCTTCATGTGTATCTTGAAGGAATCTCTCTATGCAAGGATGTACAGTTGTTTTTTGTCAACTGTTATGGGGAAATAGGCTGAACCTGATCAAATGTAATGCAACTTGCCTGCCCAGGCGGGAGGATGGCCTAGCAATGGTCAACCCGATTTTTTTTTTCAGTCTTGGCAACATGTTAGCAGAGAGCCTGCTCTGATGGCTGGGTATTTCTCAACATTGGATTAAGCCTTTTCTGTGATGCTGGTTAGATGGCGTGCCAGTGAAAAGTCTGAGAATCATACATGTTGCCCTGTGTCTGAAAATACTTTGGCAGTGGCATGTGACAATGGAGGATATCAGGAGCATCCCCAGGAAGCTCCTGGAGAAGAGGATTTTGTGTTCTGCTTTCAGCATATCACTGGTCTTAAGGGACTGCCCGCGCTCCGTAATGAGGTAGGGGTTAAGTTTAATTTGGAGAGAATCTCTCTGAAGTGTAGAGATCAAGCCTGGATTGCTTTCCATGAAAGGCTCTATGTGAGAGGGAACCTGAGGTATCGCCCTGTGGATGATCAGGCTTGGACTAGAACACGTTGGTAGTCTATGGGCCACTTTTTGCTGCAGTGTCCCTTTAACATAGATGTGTAAAAAAGGGATGGGAGGGTTATAGGCATCCCCTTCCTTTATTAGGCATGAGTTACATGGAGTGGGTGTACAGCATGGCGTCAGAAGTTACTTATCTTAGCAATACAAATTGCTCATTGCTCAAAGAAACCCCCTGTCAGGGATCTCCTCGATCCCCGCCGCGATGGTCCCGGCGCAGGCGCAGTGCACCGCCCTGTGCAGGGACACGGGCACTAGGTCCGGGCCGGCCGCGGCGTTCGAGTTCGCGCATGCGCAGTAGAAGCCGCGGCTGCCCGCTGGGCACCAATGGCAGCGCAGGGCGGGATATTTAAATGGCCCTGAGCTGTCATTCAGTGCCTTCTGGTCTTTCCTGCATCCTGTATCCTACGAACCTGTACCCTGTAAGTTTTTGACCCGGATTGTACCTGACCTTGCTGCTTTCTCCTATTCTGACCCTTGCTTTGCCTGACCTCTCTCCTGAATGCCCCCTATTGGATTTGACCTGCTGTTGCTGACCTGGCGTGTGACCCGACCATTCTATACCCGCTGCCTTGTACCTTGCCGTCCTCTCTGTTACCGACCCGGCCCGTCTGACCTTGCTCATTCATCCATCCATCCATCCATCCATCCCTTGCAGTGGGGTCTTCTGACCTCCTCATACCAGACTCTTCCCCGTGGGAGCCCTTGGCGCATACCACTACCACTGACGGACGCACCCAGTAGCCACGACCTGGTCTCGGGGGGCTCCAAGTCCATCCCCACCATCAGGGGCCCTGGTGAACAAGCACCCTGGGACTTAGACTCTGTGCGCTGGGGATGCCTATTCAGTGGAGTGCTAGTGGTACCGCCAGGCGGTCCCTTACACCCCCCCTCTGGAAGAACTTTAGCCAAGAAAGGCTACTTTAGTTGATATATAAGATTTTTCTATCTATATTGTAGCTCCGTTAGTACTGATAAGACTTATTCACTGAGCTCTTTAAACTGGTGAAAAAAAATCAGCACCAAATTAAAAATTAAAAAATAAAAAATGTTGTACAGGCTTTGTTTTTTAATGATAGCAGTACCACCATGCAGTATTTTGCTAAACTATGCACACAAAAACTCATAAAACTTGCTTAAAATTTTGTTAAAATTGTTCATTTTTTTCTATTAAATTACAAGTAGCTCAAAAATGCTCCAGCATTTATAGAGCTAATTGATGGAAGTCCAGCTGAGATAACCCCTCCCCCACAACTGATCTAATCCACTTGATTAGTAGTAGTGAAAAAATCTCTTTGAAATGAAAAACCTCCAGAATCTGTATTACCAAATGTGATAAAGTTATTCTTTTCTTCTGGGCAAATGATTCCCTTTGTACCTAAATAACATTCACATCACAACATTAGTTTATAATTATAAATACATTTTCTTAGCGTGCTGCGTGAGGAAGCGTAGTAGATACAATATATCAAAGATGTAATCATTACTAATTTTGGAACATTGCTCTGCAGTAGACCACAAACTAATAGACTGCTAACTCTGTGGGACAAATCTTTATTGCTTTTTCGGTACAACTATCTACTGATAGTAGATAAGGAAAATATCTGCTGAATCTTTATATTGGTTTCCTTCCTATAATCTACGCCTTTGACATCTTTTCAATGTTGCACATCAAATAGTAAAAACTTGCAAACTTAAAAAATAAATAAATGGGAAAAAAAACTACAAATATTGTGTGTTAGCGACTTTGAATGTCAGATGGTAAAAAAACTGCAGACTATGAAAAGGTCAATGTATGAAAACTAAAACATCTTGAGCAGTGTTAACAGACTGCAGAGCTATGTCTCCACTGCCCTTTCTAGTTACTTGTGCTGTATTGTAGAGTATCTCCATTCCCCGGGCTTGTATGAAGGCTTCTCTTCCCGATCGCACATTGGTCACATGTTTAAGGCAGCGCAGTAGGCCTCTTCGGATCGGGATGTAGGCACTGGAAGAATCACTGATGTGCCAATCTTGGTAGAAATGCAGCAAGCTACACACATAGCCTCTATTCACCGCTCTTCTGACATTGGACTCTAGAAAATAAAAAAATAAAAATATTAGAATGCTAATATTATTAAAGAAAGTTCAAGCAATGAATGAATGATATACTGTATAAGCAGGGGCAGACTGACAACTCATGGGGCCCCCGGGCAATAGGGGATCATGGGGCCCCTGTGTCCTCACCCACACCCAAAAAAGCCTATGAAAAAGGTACCAGGGGCATCTCATGGGGCCCCCTACTGACCCAGGGCCCTCAGGCAATGCCCGAGTTCCCAAATGGTCAGTCCGCCCCTGTGTATAAGGTAGGAAATTGAAATGCTAAAGAGAGTAGCTGGAAACAAGAGTCCTAGTAGTAAAGTCTCTCAATCAACATTAACTATTTTTAATCCTTATGCTGCTACCATTAGTAAATAGATTGGAAAGTATATTGTATTTTTTTTGTTTAAAACTTTTTTTCACATTTCTTCAGTTGCTTTCTGTTTTCTGGCCTAGGCCAAAATGACGTCATACATCCCAGAAGTCTTTGTGGGCATTGTTTTTTTTTTTCTTTGGAGGATGGGTGGAGCGGCTTTCTTAGTTAAGAACACCCTCCTGCCTGCAAGCATGGGCTAAGGACAGATGGATTCCAGGAAGTCATTACATGAATCATCTGCCTTTTCTTAAGATGGCTGCTGCTAAAAAATGCTAGGGATTTGCTAGAGTTTTTCAAAGTGATATCTTAACAAAATAAAGCATGGAGGCATGGATGGATGGGTGAGTTTGCTTTGAATATTAAAAATGAATTAAAAAACACTTTGTTTGTGGTGCTCAGATACAGCTAAATTCTGCGTTAACAATTTATGCCCAGCTAAAGAAAACACTGGCTGTACCTACTAGTGTTAAGCTAACTGTGCCCGGGTTAGGTTGGGGTTAGCCAAAATATACTGAAGTTCAAGTGCTGAATTTGAACCCCATTGAAGTTGTTGGGAGCCAAATGTTAAAAATCAGTTCTGGTCATTTTCTAGGCTAATAGGCAAAGACTTGCCAAACAAATGGCATGAGGGGCTGGGCACTTCCCTGGGGAACATGTACCAAAGCAAAAATCGTTGAAAACTACATTTGGTGAGGAGCAGTGATTTTAAAGATGTTTAAAGTGAAACATTAAATGCTAAATTACTTTAAATAACATGCCTGGGGGTTCTATTAACCTGCCTGTAAAGTGGTATGTCTATATGATGTATACAACCTACTACAGCAAGTTTGACATTTAGAAAGAAAACAAGTTGAAATAGCTGATAAATGACAGCTCCCAAACAAATCAACCAGGAATTTCCTTTCATCTATACCAGACCCTTACCCTAGATGAGGGTCTGGTATTCTGTAGACGTTAACAGGGGACTCCATGCAAAAAAGACAGATTGAAGGAGAACCTGCTGATGCATCTGGACACTTTGTTCATTCACCCCAAATGACAGCTCCCAGTCTTGCAAGACAATGCAAACAAAGGGGCGTTGCTTTGCTATGAGTAAGGCCACAGCGGCCGAACCACGTAAGAATTGTTTTACTGAATGTACTAGTGTAGCCACTAAAGATTTTCAATGTTTAAGTCCACAGAGTTGCCAGCTTATTTATATTAATGTTAAACCTAGAGAGGCACTGCGCATCCCAGCCACGAGCACCGTTTTTCAGCCTTGGATAGCATCAACAGCAGTAGAAGTTGGGTATTGTATTCAGTGATTCTATGAATGTGGGCATATTTGGTCATTGATGTCACAGGGGAACAAGCAAAATTAGGAGAATAATCAGAAACTCATTCCTAGTGGGTAGAGCAAAAGTTAAAAAGCCACATTTTACCTAAACCAAAAAAAAGTTAGTTTTTAAAATAAGTGGTGTTTCTATTCCTGTGTGCATGAACCCTTAAAGTCAACCTAACTTCTACCTGTAAGACGTTTAATTTACTAAACCATAATGCATCATAAACAATTGCTGTGATTATTTTTACATTAAAGATGGTTTTACTTTCATTTTTCTGTGCTGCTGATCTTCTCCAGCCCTTTCCAGTCGTTTGATGTACTCTCTCCAGCGTTGACTGCACATCATTGCTCTGAACACACTTTCTGATAGTGACAGAAGTGAACCATACATGCTCAAGGTATGTCAGCATGACTTGTGGTCTCCTCTAGGGGTGCATTTGACTGGCTTACCACTCAGGAAAGCACACTAAAGCACTTAGGAGACAGTTGTCACCCCTTAAAAGGAAGTGCCAGATCACAGACTAGGTTAAAGTGATATTGTCTTCACCAAACTGAAAAGCAGTTTCCTACAAAAGAAGAGGGGCTGAACTTATCTCTCTGGCAGCTTGGGGCACTTATATCCATTCGCCAACATGGAAGAAAAATATATTTGAAATATATTTTCTAAATATTCTTCCCAAATATATTGACATGTATTTGAAATACTTTTCAAATATTCAAAATATATTTCAATATATATATATATATATATATTTATATATACTGTATATTCTGCACGTTGAACTGCTTTTTTTATATATTACAAAATATATGAAAAAGTTTTTAAAAATATATTTTTTTTTTCAGATATATTCTTCAGATTTTTTTTAACATATAAAAAAAGTAATTTTAACATATATTTTTACATATATGTGTAAATGGATTCCAAAAATGTAGATTAAATGTATTTGTAAAGAAATACAGTATATCTGAAAATTTATTTTTATAAATATTTTTCATATATTTTGTAATAAAAACGCATTTCAACATTCAACATACAGTATATATATATATATATATAATTGGAAATATATTGAATACGGCCAAAATTGTAGTATATCAAATATATGTCTATATTTGGGAAGAATATTTTGAAAATATATTTACAATATACTTTTATTCCGTGTGCTTGAAGCCTTACTACCACAATCAGAATCTTCCTCCCTATGTTACTACAGGAGATCAAAGGGGTCAAAGGATGGAGCCACAGTCTGCAGTAGGAGAACACAAGCATCTTATATTCTCAGACATCTCATACATAATGAAAATCAGAGACATATTAGCTACTACACCTCTTTGGGGATTTTTTTTTGGTGGGTATGACATATGCCAGTGTTGTTCTAAAGCCTATATAAGATTTTAGTCATAAGGTTTAGATCTACTATCAGTTGACCACAAGTAGGAAATCAGAGAAGAAGTGCTTCTTTGGCTACTTCCAATCCTAACAAGTTGGACAATAGTAGACATGGTGTAGACATAAAATACAAGCAGTCTGAATGCAGATTTGTTTTATAGTTAAAGCTGGCTATACACTAGTAGATTTTGGAACAAACATTTGTACAAACATTCATACAAAAATGTATTTGATAATTCTCAGTACCAGGGGCGGACTGACCATTTGGAAACTTGGGCACTGCCGAGGGCCCGGGGTCAGTAGGGGGCCCCATGAGATGCCCCTGATACCTTTTTCATAGACTTTTTTGAGTTTGGACAAGGACACAGGGGCCCCACGATCCCCTATTGCCCGGGGGCCCCATGAGTTGTCAGTCCGCCCCTGCTCAGTACATTAGATGACTTGATGAATGTAGATTGAAAGTACAGTAAGTTCAAGTTGTTTGTAAGTCCAACAAAGATAAGCCCTTGCAGACAATGACTGTGAGCATTGATCAGTGTGTTTTGGTGGGGGGAGTCCACCAATCAGAACACAAAGGCACAGCGGAGGAGATCGCCACACCAACATTGCTTGTGTTGGTACGGCGATCTGTCATTTTACGTGTGTACCCAGCTTTACATGGTTGCATATGCAAACACATTTTCGCATCTTAGAAAGTTTGCAACTTGAATGTTGGTATGTAGGGAACTTACTGTACTTCATATTTCTGTTTGCTTTTAGCATTCACTTTTGGAATGAATGTAATTTTATAAACAAAAACCACACACTGTCAGAAATTTGATGTTTGAAAAAAAATTCCATCATGCTCTTTCTAATTTTCTTGTCAGTGCAGTCAAAAGTGAACAACAATTTGACTCCACTAACAATTAGAAAATCAAAAAAATGTCCTGGAGACTGAATATTTTGAACACAATTCTGCTAGTGTATGGCCAGCGTTACTTTCCACAAATAAGGTTGCTGTCTGTCAAGCAATTTCCCGTGTACACAAACAATTCACTAATTTATTGAGCTTTTTGCAGCTGACAACTGAATCTTCTCACTAATGACTTCATAATAAAGCGTTCATTGATGCAGATAATAATTTAGAACCTGCTGTCCAGTCATTCACAATTGTTTTAGCATATGTTTTTTAAAGATTTTCATTAAACCTAATTATAATGACAATATTAGTGGGATATGTAAAGGAAGGCAAGACCAAATCTGAGCAAATGAACACATTTACATAGATTTTTTATAAACTCTCATTATTAATCTATTAATTTACACTGATGGTTTGAATTCAATTTAGAGACAACAGAAGATTTCACACGTTGCCTCTGAAAACAGTTGTCACTCATATCTTCCATTATAGCCAGTTATTCCATAATTAATTACTTTGTGATTTTAAAATGGTGTTGTCCTGCTGAAAGCTAAGAATTATGGAAGACAGGCTTTTCAATCAATCTTACCTTTGAGATAGTGGTCACGGGATGTCTCCTACCTACTTCCAGAGCGGGTGAAGCAGAACAGTCTGAACTAAGGTGGACATATTTCTACATTGGGGTACAGACAGGGGCGGAATGACAACTTATGGGGCCCCCGGGCAATAGGGGATCATGGGGCCCCTGTGTCCTTGCCCAAACTAAAAAAAGCCTATGAAAAAGGTACCAGGGGCCCCCTACTGACCCCGGGCCCTCGGGCAGTGCCCGAGTTTCCAAATGGTCAGTCCGCCCCTGGGTACAAAACATAAGGTTTGCAGGCTAATGCTGGTTCCCCAGATAGTTTTCTACAGATCAACTGGTGCTGGATACAGTTGCTGTGCTTGG